CCCCAAAACCCCAAAACCCCAAAACCCCAAAACCCCAAAACCCCAAAACCCCAAAGATCATCTTGACGCTTGAAAATTGTTTGTCATGAAATGCACACAAAGTATTTAAAATCCACACTCTTGTCTAAACTTCTTGAACAAACCATATCTCTTGAATTTCAGCTTTCTTTTCCTTTTGAACAAGTCTTCTTTATCAATATTGCATTTTTCGATCATTTCCTTAAGGATTTTCTTATTTTCTCTCTTTATGCTAAGTTGGTCATTATTTGATTATTTTAGAAACTCTTCGCCCGGTCTCATCTTCTTGAGATACTCGATTCTTGACAACACTCATTGCTCTTTCCCTGATGGATGATGCTTTAGTGGTACTTCTGAATTTCAGCTGAGTAGGAATAGATACAAGTGAGTTATAGGCAGATTTCATCATTATGATCTCATCTTCTTCATTCAATTCCTTGCTCATAGGAGCTGGATCATTCATAAAGTCTTTAAATTCGAATTCACTACTTCATTTAGTCTTTGCAAGTAAGGTAGCGTATGCTTTCTTGTACTTATTAGACGTCATAGGTCTTTCTCTCTTACTTTGCTGTGCTCGTGGCTTTGGCTCACGCACTACAGCTGTAGAGGGTCTGAACCTTTGGATTTGGTTAACCTTCCCTTCTAGGATTGTTAGAGTAGGGACTTACTTCATATTTCAAATGCTTTGGATTCTCATTGATTCAGAGTTGACTCATCATCTTCGATAATTCAGTCATCTTCTAGTTCGCCGACTGAGATCTGAGAGAATTCTTCATCTTGAGGGATTTCTTTCTCCTCAACTGAGGGAGTAAAAATTTTCTGAAGGTAGCTAGTGTTATTTTGTGTTTTTCATAGTGATCTCTCCGCTCTGTTTATCTTCAAACAGCTTAGCCTCCCGAAGCCCACTACTTAGCAATAAGTGTCATTTGTTCCTACGATAATCATACTGGGATAAATCAGGCTGCTTTGGAGAGAGCTTCCTCTTTGATGATTTATCTAGAGTTATTATTATCGAAACTACTAGTATTTTTAGGCTTGGCGTATGCACTGAATACCTTTGAGTTCTTCCTTCTTTTCAGACGGACATCATTACGAGGATTTGAAAAGGCACGTCTGCTTAGAGTCTTGTCTGGATCAAGCTCAAGATCAGCAGCATTGATCTTTTTAAAATGTTTATTGTTCCTAATTATTACGTCTGATTTATTCAGGTTCTTAGATTGAATTCTGGCTACTGTTTTATGCTTCCTCAGTCCTAAATTTTGAGTTAATCATAATATTCTTGCAGAGATCTAGAAGAATTACTCTTAAAGTTCCGGTTCTTGGTAACAGGCTTTACTGGGCCCCGAATCGGCTTCTTCTGGGCAGGGAAGTAGATCCTATATTATCGTCAATAAGGGAAGGAAGCAATATAGTCATCAATTTGATATTTATCATCTTGACTTACATATCTTTGATAGGTTCGTTAGTCCTGGTTTGGTACAGCCTCGGAGCTTCTCTTGAAGCTCTGACTTTATAGTTGGCTCCCAAATTCTTTGTGATGAATGGGTATATTCGTCTATTGATCATTACAAATTTCAATTTTAAATATATTTTACGGGGTTTTGGGGTTTTGGGGTTTTGGGGTTTTGGGGTTTTGGGG